TTTCACGTTTAGCGTCTCAACAGGACTCTTTCTTTCATATATTGTACAGCTACAGCAAGACGCGGACGTTGAGGTATTCGAGAGTGTTTCGATCGAGTTGATTTGATATCTAAAAGCATATTGGGATAATTGGATCATCTGGTTTGGTCATAGGATTTCGGGAATCAAAATTGACATTTTGTTAATCATCAGATTGTCGAAAGTGATTTTCATCTCGTAGAAATTGAATTTATTGAAAATCTATCTTTAATTTTTACTTGAGTGAGCGGAATTCCGTTTTGAGCAATTAAAATCATTCATTTGATATTCATTTGATTGTGAATCTGTTTTGGGTTAGTGCAATTTTCACTCAAAATGAAATACTTTAGAATATCTTTCTTTGATTGCTTGTTTGTTTGGAACATGAAGAGGATTCCAGTTTTTTTGGTGATATTTCCCGATTTCAGTTCAATAAATTTCAGTTATTCGATCCGTCTGCATATTTACCAGATTTTCTCCTCAGCATGGTTATACCTCAACTACTGACTTATTCAAGTAGACTTTTGTTGGTGGCATCAGTGGCTCATCTGTGCTCTCTGAAAGTATCGCGCGCTAGACGTTCACTGCCAGATTTGGTTGCGATTGTGTTGTGGTTGGTTTTTGGACTTTTTAAGTAGGGACTTCGAAATCGTTTCTGTTCAAGGAGCAAAACAAAATCGTTCAAGAATCAAAATTAAAGAAACGAAATCAAAAAAAGCAAAATGAAATCGAAAATTCAAGCAAAACGAAATCGTTCAAGAAGCGGAAAAAAATTTTTTTTGAAGCGAAAAACTATCTCATCGAAAAAGAGGTAGTTTGATTGGAGTTCGAGGAGCACTTTTGAGAAATTCAATCGTTGCTTTTACCGGTTCGAGTTATCTTCTCCTTTCGCCTTTCTTATCGATTTTATTCATTTAGATTGGCAAAAATTATGATTACGCATTCATTTGCGTAGTCAATGTGACGGCTTGATAACATGGTAGGGTCGTAGGATTTGGGGAATTTTGTCAGATTATGGAAATTTTGAAGAATTCGTTTCTACTTTCATTTTTTCTCGCTTTCTAGGGCGGCTCTGATCTATTTGAAATGGCGACAACCAACAAAAGATATTATCCTCAGTCAACTGGCTTGCTCATCAGTGCTAACAGTGATTGCGTTTGCGGTCGCATTTCTGCCCAGGAAACTGCTGCATCGAAAGCGTCCCAATCGTATTATTCACAGGTTTTTCACTACTTTGATATTCTGCACCTCTGACAAAAATCTTTTTCCGTCGGATTTTTTTAATGATAATTGAAAATTGAAAATCGGTAATTGTTTGATTGGTTCGATCAGTGAAATATTGACGAATTCAGTGATAAGTCGAGCTGTTCGTCTGTTTGATAGTTGCGTATTTGGACGGTATAATTTCACTAATGATACTGGTACACCACTCGGTTTCGAGCAATATTTTCCTCCGCGATGCACGACAAAAGTTTTGCTCGAAACCAACTTAGTAAAGTAGCTAACTTTAGTTAATCAGTAATTAGCCACATTATCAAATTACTTTAATTTACTATTATAAACTTTAATAACTTATTATTACCAAATTAATTTGAGTTACTATTACCAAATTATATATCATTAATGTTGTGAGTCTGAGCCAGCAGGCTATGATCCGGCTTGTATCTATTATCTAATTATCTGGTATGTTTTCAGTGTATTCTCGTTAGCCAGCACACCGCTATCGCAGTGCAGCACTGCCTCAACTCGCTCATCGCCAAGCAATTCATCGTTCTGTCTCAACAACAGATCCGTCAATTGCACATTCAAATCGCCGGCCAGAACGAACGCATCGAATGAATCCGTCATGAATGGTTTTGGCGCTCTCAGTACTCAGAATCAAAATCGTCCACGAGCCACAAGAGAAGGTACACCGTCACGTGAATTGGGCAGTTTATTGGATGGTCTTCATCTGGGCGATTCTGGAGGAAGAGAATCTTCGCAGATGAATGCAGGTCAAGATCATAGTCCACCACTATCATCGGTTTCCTCTTGTACAACATCGTTGAGACGAAGACGGGGTGAGTTTTGCCAAGGGCTTTAAATCTGTTTCGAATTGTTTTTTAAAATAAAGTATCGTTTTCTTTGCATGTAAAACATCTGCACCGTGCGATGAAAAGCTTAGCTTAACTTAGTAAAGTAGCTAACTTTAGTTAATCAGTAATTAGCTGAAGTTACTATTATCAAATTACTTTAACTTACTATTACCTTACTATTACAGACTTTAATAACTTATTATTACCGAATTACTTCAAGTTACTGTTGCCAAATTACTTTAAGCTACTGTTACTTTACTGTTACAAACTTTAATAACTCACTATTACCGAATTACTTATCAAATTACTCTAACTTAGCCTAACATATAATTTCTGTGGTAACCTTCAGCGCGTGGTAGTGAGCTCTGAATTAGAAAATTTTGGCTATGGTCATGTTATTCACAATCAGAAGATTTTTGTGGAGGTTTCATTGCGTTAAGATCGGAAATTTCAGGACCATTCGACTCAATGAAACGTCCCGTACTGGCACCACCACGTTTCCGTCTCGGTAATCAGCAACCATCGATGTCGCAGTATTCTGCGTCGAATCCATTCATGTCGTCATCACGCNGTTTCCGTCTCGGTAATCAGCAACCATCGATGTCGCAGTATTCTGCGTCGAATCCATTCATGTCGTCATCACGCTACGTGCCCTCAGCACCTCCATCAGTAATGACTTCAGTTAGTGAAATGAGGTCATCCAGCAACCAGTCCTCGTATACAGTCATTCACTTGTTGTGTGCGTTGATTGCGTTGATTAGTATATTTGTCAATGTGTTTATGTTCTATCGTATGAATTCAACAAAATCCGATTAATTGATTGATTGAGCGATGATTACGTTTAGGAGTATGTATTGTTCGGTTGTTCGTTCTTATCCGTCTGAAAATTGAACTGGTAAAAGATAAAAGAAGAATGTTATTTCGATATGAGTTCGTGTGTAATGTTGTGTTGATTGACTACATTGGTTTAGTATCGGATCCCGTATTGATTGAAAAAAGTGTTATTTCGATATGGCTTGGTGCATATATTGTGTTGATTGATTATATGATACAGTATCTGATCCCGTATTGATATGTTTTAGACACCGCTTGGCTGTGTTGTTTGTTGTTGCCATTTGGTTGAATTATGGGAAG